TTTTTTCAACACCAAATGATGTATAAATATGTTTATTTTGGATAATAGATTGGATAAGAGTGGATATTTGAGTTAGACAGTAGTATTTAGGAGATCGAAAGTACATCAAAAATATTTTTTGAAAAATGAATCGGATAATACGAATATAATATATATAATTTTGGATATTTAAAATCATTATCAAACACGTAAAGACTTTATCATATTTGGGTTTTCCATGTAATTACAAATAATTTTGGATAATTTATAAATATTTTTGTTTGAACAAATTAAAATAATTATTGTAATTGGAGAACTTTTAGATAATTTAGGTAGTTTTATTACTTTTAAACAAAAGTTGTGTTTATGTATTTTAAGTTTATTTTTTTTTTTGGTTTGGTTAGATTCGATTTTTTCGTAATTTTGTGTACTAATATAATTTAAAGAAAACATAAGAAATTTTTTGTGAAAAAAATATTCAACAATTAGCGTAAATTTTACTGAAACGACTAATTTACTCTATATGTAAATTCATCTTTAATTTTTTAAATTGCAAGTTTTCTCATTCTGCCAGATTCCATAAAAAATACTACAAACAGATTCAAATTATTAATAAAACAGATTTATACATGGTCCTAGCTAGTAGCTTCCTAATGTGAAAATAGAACATATGGTCTCACATTGAGTTGTCCCATACGTTAAGTAGTGTGTGGCCTTGACCTTCACGAATAACGTAGAAAAACATTAAGCCCGCTGGGGCCATCAACATATATATACAATCTTTGCAATCAATTTATCTTCTCTAGGCCCAGTAACATTAGGGGTTATATCTTGATAGTAAATTTTTTCTCCTGAGTTTTATTTCATAGTCAAATCAGAAATAAAACAAGCAGCTTAAGATTGACTGGGTGAACCTTAGCTATGAGTTTAATTAAATAAGTATTGCTTAATAAATGACATTAGGTTACCTCGAGATTACAAAGCATAAATTATGATATTTTTTCAAAACAAGATATAGTCTTTGTAATAATGCTTGTGATGTAGGGGTGTGATGAACTAGAGAAGCTTCTTGGTGGAACTTACAATTTGGATTAGATGAGACTAATCAGAGTTAGCAAAAGCAAAACCAATGAGTGATTTAAAGATAATTAAAGCAATTAGAAGTGACAAAGAACAAAGTAGTTAAGTTGCATCCTATTAAGGGGACATTTTGTCTAAAATACCAATACCACTATAATTAATTAAGAGACTTCCTTTTTTTTTGGATGATATTAATTAAGCCACTTCTTAATTATTGTTAGGTAAACATGTCTAACCTTTTAAAATCTATAATCAAAATGTGGTCCTCTTATGTAATAAATTTAGACATGAATAAAGATGACATCTTTTTCAATAATTCTTTGTTTCGTTGATAATCTTGTATGATTTTTTTTTCCTTCTATATATCCTTTTTTTTATTAGCAACTTGAAACGTTAGACACTATTACAAACCATCAAAATTATATATGATCAATTATTTTTTCAGGTTGCTAATATTCAAAAAGACTATAGGATATTTGTGCCAGTCTTGTTGTATATCATATTTGCCTTTTAGTTGTATTACTATCAGTGAAGAAAAACTTAGCTAGGTATATTGATCGACAAAAGAATAAAACCAAATCAAACTTTCAATGTTCAATCCAGTTTGAATTTTAGTTCAACCATAGGCCATATGTGTTACAATTTACAAATTTTCAATGTTCAATGTTTAAAGGATATTGGAGTATTTAGTTGCTAATTATCATTTTTATTTTATTTTCAATTTCTCTTCCACACTAACAAGTGAACGTCGAGTTTTATTGTTGTCTTGTACTCATTAAGAATGAAACAAAATTTTAATACTAATGTGTTTCATAATATTTGATGTTTGAAGATTTTGCATACCATGTAAAAAATATATATAATGGCAGTTATAGTCTCGTCATT